AAGATGAGCTCTTTAATTTCTCTGTAAAACACAACGGCAAAAACAGGACAGACAGACAGCTGCTGATCAGATTACTAGTCCTTCAGTTGAATTCATTTTTTAAAAAACCCTTAACGTTATATACCTGGGGCCGCACGCCCAGCCCCAGGAAATCTCATGCGCTCCCTGCTAACTGATACGTTTCAACACAATACCGATACATTAACTTTGTCTATGTGTTTAAAACAATGACAATTCTTTCTGCAATATCAAAGAACTGTTTATACACTTATTCTAAGTGCTACACTCATTGTGAAGTTTTAATCACAGCTCACAAAACCCCCTCACACACTGTAGGAGTCTTGGTAAGATCTTGAAATATTCGCATAACAAAAATGTATGCCAAAATCAACCTGAAAATAGCACAGTGTATATTCATCTTTAAAGATACAATATGCAACTTTTCGTAGGGGATAGTCTACAAACACGATTCTATTCATTTTCCTTTTATGTGTTTTTAATGGGTTTTAAATGTTGTCAATGTGAAGCACTTCTGTTTGAACTGTGCTATGGAAATAAATGTTGATTAACTAATTCACGTTGTTGCTCTGCTAAACACCGTTATGTACAGTAGTTTGCCTTTTATAGAGCTGGAGATTCGGATCACAAAGCATTTTGGGAATTATGCAAGCGCATCGGTAAACCAATGGAGACCTTTCAGCTGTGAAAATAAAAAGATTAGGATCCAATTCAAGATAATTCCGAGACTAAAGCGATAAAGATATTTAGTAGTGTGAGAGGTACACAGTAAGTATACAGTCAATAAATGTAATTGTAAAAGAAATATCACTTGATCTTACTTTTATACCAGCGCTTATCTAAAGTAGCACGAAAGAACGAGTGCATTTTTATGTTGAAACCCTATTTCCTCACGAGAATGTTTTACACCATCAATGCTAACGACTTTAAGCAGAGTAATGAGTTTTCAGCAACAGTACGCCCTCCGACAGCAACAAAAGAAATGGAGCTTATAAACAATATGCTTTAGTTGCAGAACGCTGCGACACACGAACACACTTGAATACACTTGTTTTTTCTGTGTCAGTAAATATGAGCCTATTGTCGCCGTGGTTTGCCTCTTCTAGAATTACCTTTGGAACGACAATATGAGGTGAAAATGTATAGATTAAATTCAAATAGTATTCTTCTACAAACTACAAAATTGAATCAAGTTGGCAAAGTCCCTGGTGCAGTTTTAACGCTGGGACGTGCACTGGATAATAACGACTCGATGGAAGGGAAAGAAAACTCCACTTGTTCTGCGGATAAACAAATGAATAAATGATGGGTTTTGGATGAGTGTGACAGGTCTGGACTACAGCGCTTGTTTTTCAGTGATTTTCTTCTGTAAAATCTAAACAATCTCCGCTGCCAAATGCACAAAGCGTATCCCATGATGGAGATTGAGATGCCACAAAATTACAGACATAGAGGAAGCGAAAAAATGTGTATCTCAGTGTGATAAGCTACTCTTTGGAACAATTTACCAGAGGAATAATGTTCAATTATGATTCTGTTCAAAAATATATGATAAATGTAGAAAATATGTATACAGTACATAAATATTAAAGAAGTACATGGAGGAAAGAGAGAGATAAATATATTAAGAAAGGAAATATACTTGAAGTTGCTGATATCACCTTTAAAACAAGATTTGTCAATTAAAACAAAAATATATATTTTTGTTTTGAATTAAGTTTAACAGATTCTCACTTGTTTGAAATCTTTTTCATCCAAATTCAATATTTTCTGCTTGTTTGTTGTATTGTTTTTGTACTTGATCACTATTATTATTTTTAGACTTTAGCTGCTAGAATTGAAAACAGCTCTGCTTGTGTACAAGTTTCTCCATGGCCTCTTACCAAAGTACATCCATGACATGTTAGTACCTTATGAACCAACTAAGACTCTGAGGAGCACAGGGACTGGCCTCCCGTTGGTGCCCAGAGTCAGGACTAAACATGGAGAGGCAGCGTTTTGAATGTAGTCTTCCTGAAAATGTGAGACAGGCTTCTACTCTGACAATGATCAAATCCAGGTTAAAAACTGTTCTGTTTAACAGAAACTGTAGGATTGTATCTTCACTGTTTTGAATGCGCTGTGATTATTTATGATTTTAAAGCCTTGTATGATTTTAATTAATTTTCTTGTTTTGTGAAGCACCTGATGCATCGTATATGAACTGTGCTATACAAATAAACTTGCCCATTAGTAGATACACTTTAATGATCAGTTTGCATCAAAGCTTCTGCAATACAAGCCTCTATATCAAACAACAGAAATATCCAGCTGTATGCATGTATTTGGTTTAGTTTTTGCATTGGTTCAACCTTAAGAGACGGTCCATTTTAAAAGTCTGATCACATTTCCCGGAGTTTGTGGTGAGTTTGAGGAACAGAAGGCAGTGCTGATAACTGGAGCTGTTCGCAGCCACATCTGTCACTGTCAAAATGGGAGTGTGCGAGTTTCAGAGTTCTAGAGACAAACTAAATGACAAGTCATCTCTTTCGACGCCCATTTAAAGGTCACTCACTTTGAAAATACTCTGCCTACCCAGCTGTTTGATATAATGTCAGGCAGAAACACGGCTTTGTGAATGGAACATTAGAGGATTTCTTTATGTCTGTCCTGGCTGTGACTCGATTGGCTGTCTGTGTTTACTCTATTTAGGTCATGGAGCAAAAAGAGGCAACCATGAAAATAACATTCTGGCTTTTTTACATCCAAAACTACAATGTCTGAATACTGATGCATATTTCAATCTGATCTGAGAAAGTTATACAGCTTTCCTCACTTGCTATTGTTAAAACCACTAAACAAGGTTATAAATGCTTAAATTTGAGTACATTGACATTCTGTTTATCTTAAAACAATTTGCCAATGGGGCGACAGTAGCTCAGTTGGTAGAGCATTGGCCTTTGAGCCTGAAGGTTGTGGGTTCGAGCCCACCGTAAGACCTTCTTCACGACTCCCACTGATGACTGCTGTCGTTGTGTCCTTAGGCAAGACACTTAACCCCACTTTGCCTGAAGCTCCCACTGAAAGATCTCAGCTCCTGTGGACTCACCACCTGCAGGAGGATCAGTGAGGGGCTGGTGCTCTGTGAACTGGGTGGCATCTCTGGCCAACCCCCCGACCCAGAAATGGATTAAGGGGAAGAAAATGGATGGATGGATGGATGGAATTTGCCAATGGGACGAACCCATTTAGTCTTATGTCTAGAACCATTTGTTCTCATTCAATGGGAGACATTTTATATATCTTTTAAAAACAAGAAAACGTTGCTTGTTCGATTGGCAAATCTTGTTTTAAGGCAGTCAAAATATGCTCAAATTAGATGCATTTTTCTAAACTTGAACAATGTTTTACTTATTTTCCATTACGCGGTATAAAAGAAACATCACAGTGAAACAGTGCCCTACCACCAATTGTACAAGGCATACTGATTATAAATGTTTTTTTAAATGTTAAATTTATGGAATAACTGTATCCAAAGTTATTGTTGGAACAGATAAGGACAAGGGTTTGAGATGAGCCTGATGTACTGTATGTGCAAATATGGTCTTGTCTGATCTTTGTCTGTGTCTATGTATGTGACTTTTATTTTGTAGCCATTTGGCAGAGCAAACGGACCCAGAAAAAGATATAATTCTACTCAAGGGGCAAAAATAAATTAAAATAAAACTTGAACATAACTCTTTGTATTGCAACAAACAACAAGTTAAGTCCCCTGCTTAACGTTCTAACCCTCCATAGGAAAAGATTTTGAGTTAAAATCCCTCCTCAGAGTTTGCCGACAGCTCCTGTGAAACCAAGAGACAATGTAGGATAAATGCACTCTCTTGAAGTGATGCCTTAAAGAAAGTATTGTGCCCTCGTGTCATATGAACGCTCAGCTTTTGTGCTTTTTCAAAAATTCTGTTTGATTGCTTCTACAGCATAAGCCGACATCAGAAGCTGCAAAATGAACCAGTTTTATCTGACTATTCATTTTTAGGGCAATTGTGAAACAAGTGGAAGACTGTAACATTTCAGGAAGTTATCAAAATATTTCAAATAAGGCCGAGGGCTGAGAAAACCAGTGAAATCGAGGTGGAATTAGCAGTCGCTTAATGCAAGTTTCAACAACAGAGCATTTCACAAAGAGTAGCGTTGTTTCAAGAATGGGTTCAACTTGGATTCTGTTTGAGACCACAGTGCACATACAATACTTTTGGGACTCGACTCTTATATTGGGCTTCTTTCATTAAATCAGTGGCGTTTCTATTTAAAATCATATTGATCCAAATGGGGCAATAATAATGAGATTTGCAGAGCGGTTTTCTCTTAGAAGGTAATACATGATTACGATATACAATTATAATATATTGTGTTTTTAGACCTGTGTTCAGCACTTTGGTCAACTGTGTTGATATTAAAGTGCTCTGCAAATAAAAGTTGAATTGAATTGAATTCAAGTCTAGTAACGAAAGGTATTTAAATACTGCGAGCTTTATTAATTATGTTGAGCACTATCACAATTTAGAAGACTGCTCAGTTGAAACAGATAAAGAAAAACTAAAGCAGCAAAAAAGTGGGAAAAAATGCTTGATGCCTCATCATTGGAAAGAAAATATTATACTTTTTTAGTTTGTGTGTAAATGTGAAAAATCCTTTGTTTTGTCTGTTTTTTAACTTTCTTTTGTGTCTTTTGTTTGTCCCTTTTTGTCCTTGCTTTGTCTTTTTTTGTTATGCTTATATTTCTGTTGTTGGTCTGTCTTGATTTTTATCTGAAACACAAGTTTCACTTCTACCTTCTCCTTTCCGAATATATATTTCTTCTTTTTTATTGTATTGCACAAATAATAATTTGAAATAAAGACTACTACAACTTATTGTCCTTAATAAATAAATGAAATGGATCTGTATAAAATACCGATTCACTCAACATCACAATTCTGTTTTTGTGTTTCGTGCTGCAGGTTGGAGGCGACAGAGGATAAATTTAGGAACAGAGAGAGCCGTCATGAAGACCTGCAGATCATCGCAGAACTCAAAGACATGGTCACAGAGAGAGAATCCCTCGTCAAAAAACTGGTGGTAAGTGGTATTTTTAAACCCATTATATTTACTGCGGAAGTAGAAACTTCACTATGATCAATCTAACTCTTCCAGGACGATAAGAAGTTCTACCAGCTGGAGTTGGTCAACAGAGAGACAAACTTCAACAAAGTATTTAACACCAGTCCAAATGTAGGAGTCATCAACCCTCTCATAAAGGTAGGTCCAAAGCAGTCCACGCCACCGAGGAGAGCTGACCAGTGCCTGAAGCTTTCAGAGGACTGTCCTGGGCATCTCATCTCATTCACCAGCGCTCAGCCTTAGACATTGCACTGTTTGGCTCTGCGGATAATATTTCACTCATTATGCTCCTGCAATTTAAAGGAAATTAATTGTTAAAAATAAAAGACAAACCTTCAACGCTTCATAGAGATTTGGATTAAAAGCGTGTGATAGTGGGTTAGAAGAGGTCCTTGGTCACTGTGACAAGGATTCAATTCAATTTATTTTTGTGTAGTCCTAAATTACAACCGCAGTCTTCTTGGAGGACTTTACATCAACAGATCAGAGTATCAACAGGAAATGCAATGATAACAAACACATAGGAGTCAATGGTCCATAGGGAGTGGAAGTCCAATGTCCATAAATGTCCCGCATCATCACTGTCCTTCTGCATCAGTGAGGAACGACCCAGAAACCCAGTGGGAAAGAAGTGAGAAGTCTTGGGGAGGCCTATATTGAGAGAGGGATCCACTCCCTCAGACAGACAGGCTGTAGATCCAGGACTCAGGCTGTAGATCTAGGACTGAGGCTATAGATCCAGGTCTCAGGCTGTAGATCCAGGTCTCAGGCTGTATATCCAGGTCTCAGGCTGTAGATCCAGGTCTCAGGCTGTAGATCCAGGTCTCAGGCTGTAGATCCAGGTCTCAGGCTGTAGATCCAGGTCTCAGGCTGTAGATCCAGGACTCAGGCTGTAGATCCAGGTTTCAGGCTGTAGATCCAGGACTCAGGCTGTAGAACTAGGACTGAGGCTGTAGATCCAGGTCTCAGGCTGTCCAGTGAGGAGGCTCCCAGGCGGAGAGCGGGTCCAGCTCCCACGAGGACAGTAGTTTTATGAATGAGCGCACATGGAATCTATTATATAAATCACTGTTTATGTGAGTCCACAGAAAGGCCAGGAGAGGAGATTTATGGAGGCCGTTACATTGAATACATACAATAAGGTTAAGTGAGGCCACATAATTAGCTGTGCATGTTCAGAGATAATATTAAAACTAATCATTTGCATTATCATAAAAAATGCAGCTAATTGTATCATTGAAAACTTTCCTAAATGCATTCTATGAAGGTGATGTTACGTGGTTTAAGAGCGTCTTGACAAGCTCTAATTAGCTTCTCAAGGACGACTAATGGAGAGGGAACAAAGAGTTGAAGCTCTATCTGCGCCCACAAGGGTTTCAAATGTTTACGGCAATTACCGCAGAAGACGCGTCTCGTCCCCGGAGTTCAATGCAATGTCTAAACAACTCCGAGGCTGAAGGCAGAAAAAGTGAACACAATTTTGTCGCTCTCAAAAAATCAAGAAGTATATTTAATGTTTCATTGTTTCTTTGATTGGACTCATCAAAGAGTTTTGGAGTGCGGACAAGTTGTGTCACTCATTCCATGTTGTCCATCTCTCAGTGTGTGTCTGCTCTACACTTTGGGTTTGTTTACTATGTTCCCTTTGCTTTCCAAACCATCTCTCCTCATCTGAACTGATCAGCTCTGAGCGACTGGTGGTGCGTTCAAGGGCTGAGATAATAACTCTGGATTTACTCATTCGTTCTGCTTCTGGCCACATTTAAATTAATCTCTTGTCTTGTGTCCTACTGCTGCACCTCGACTCCATCTGTCTTTGGTTTGTCCTTTTTCCTCCATATGTTTGGTTCAACCTCGTCTCCGAATTAGACGAATCTACACTGTTTCTAATGCAGAAATATAGTTAGCGGACAAAGATTAGTTTTAATATAACTGTATTATAGTTAAAAGTCCATGATCAAAGTGCTTGCCTGTCTCTACTAGTTTGAATGACATAAGGTTTTTGCTTCCATATTTTTTTAGTATAGGTTTTAGATTAATTGATATTTTAATTATTCACTAATAAACGTCAACAGCACTATAGGTTAACAATAAAAATGCGACTATAGGACTAGATCTGTCTGGAGCAAAAGGACCCATCTTGGCTTGGTCAGGAATACCAGAACTGGAGGTTATTTATGATGCATGTTTTGGCTGGGTGAGAAAACAGGAGCACCTGGAGGAAACCCATCCAGCAATCACGCAAACTCCGCACAGAAAGGCCTGGGTCAAGACAGTACCCCACGGCCAGCGAGACGGCCCTGGGTTCAACTCCTGGGCCTATCTGAGTGGATTTGCATACTTCTCCCTGTGTGTTCGTTTGGGTGGTTTTCCTCCAGGAGCTCCGTTTTTCCCTGTAGCTAAAACATGTACTGTAAACCTAATCACGATGCGATCATTTTCATAGTTAGGGAGGTAAACAAATGGTTCTTGACAACCACTATTTCTCTATTAGCCGAACCCGCAGCCTGTAGCTAGCAAAAGAAGACAACGCCACTCATAATATGGATTTGAAATGATGGAACAAATCCAACTGGCTTTCAAGCATGTATAGACTAAAAATAACTTGATAAAGAATTTTTCCCCTCTGTAACTATGGAAACGACCATGTTGCAAATAGATGTAAAGGCTCTGGATCCAAGTCTCCCCTGAAAAAGAGATCGTGACATATCCCAGCGGGACCATGAATCAGTGAGTGAGGGACAGGAAGTCCCAAACTATAGGATATTGCTTTGGGTCTTGGTGTAAAGTTATAAAAGTAAAAATAGAATAAGGCATGCAAAATAAATTAAAATCTACATAACATTTCTTAAAATCAAAACTATATAGGTCAATCAATAAGTATTACAAGTCAATCAATCAATCATTTTTTTTGTATAGCACAATTAGTGAAGGCCATTCAAAGTGCTTCACCAGAGCAATTTAAAGACACAGATCAAAATGCATTAAAAAAGAATATTAATGAAATATACAATAATTTCATAACAGAGCAGCATAAAAGTAAATAATAAAATTGTAGTCATGGAGACCTGACCCCGGTTTTTAGTTTTGTGCATTGTTTGGTGGTTATTCATGTTTTGTTGCCATCTTCCCTCCTGCTCCACGTTGACCCCGGTGCCACTCCTTTCTTTGTTTTCTGTGTAGCAAAAGCGAAAGAATGAGAAATCCTCCACCACCAGATTGAGCAGCTCTTCTAATGTCAGGGGGCTGGAGGCTGCCGGTTTGGGCCTGGCCGGTACAGGAAGTGGGCCCCTCCCACATCCTGCTCCGCCTCACGCCCCCCGCCTAGACCCCCTCCCCAACTCCCCCCTGCATCACCTAGAGCTCAACTCCAACAAACCTCTTCCCCCGCCGACCCCTCCCACCGAAACCAAGAAGTTCATGAGGTGAGAGTGACGAGGCTCGGACGGAGCAGTGACACCGGGAGCCCGAGTAGAAACACTCTGTATTTGTATAAGATTGTAAAGATCTCGTCAAAGCAAGCATTTTTACATTCAGCCTAGTTGTCCAAAACGTGGTAGACACCAGATGAGACAAGCTTAATTCGTCCCACACTGCAAAAAAGATAAATGATGGTGTTATAATTGCTTGAATGGAGTGGTTTTTATAATAATTTGAGTACATTCTGACTGTCTTAAAACAAGATTTGCCAACGGAAAAAAGCCAATTAGACTTACTTCAAGAACTGTTGCTTTATTTTCTCATTTCGAGGGAGGCATTTCTTGTATCTTTTTAAAACAAGATTATTTAGCTTGTCACATTGTCAAATCTTATTTTAAGGCAGTGAAAATGTGCTCAAATTAAGACACATTTTTTTCCAAATTTGAGCAATTTTTAACTGACTTTTTATTACTTTTTGCAGTGCACAGGGGAAATTAGTGACTTGTACATTTAAAAAACTATAAGAGAAGTGACTGATAGAATAAGTGTACAATAACAGACTGATCTATTTAGAGCTAGCAGCAGTCTCTCTCTCAATTTAAATAGTGGCACATACCATTTAGCCTTATTCATTATTAATCAGGCAAAAGAAACTGCCATTAGCCAAGACAAGAAAGAGGCCATTTTAAAGATGCTTACTTGTCTTCTCCTATTCATCTTTACTGTTGTGACTTAGTATTACACAATGTACAGTATATAAGACAGAAACTTTATATTTTTCTATATTATGATATACAGACATACAGTGCAATTTCTATAGTCTTGTTTACAAATACGTGCAGCACTTGCGTATATATACTAAGTGTTATTTCTGTCTGGCTGGATCATGTCTGAGAGCTCATGAGCCTGGTGTGGAGCCTGGCATCACGGCCCTTTCATAAACCATTAGCAGCATGCGTACCATTAGCAAAGCTGCTGTTTTGCACATGATGTCACCCTCCGAGTCGTGTGTGACAAAAAGAAAAGATGTTGAGCCCCATGTGACTGAAGCTGCAAAGAGAATGGCTTGGCAATGTAGAGGGCACAGTTCTGTCGTCTTCTGTGTATTTGTGTTTGTGTTTATGTGCATGTCCGGTTCATATATCTGTCCCATCGTTCACCTCGTCCTCACCTGATCGAAGCATGTCTGCACAAGCTTCTCCTCGACTCCAAACTGAGATTTCCTCTTGTTCTCTTAATGCAAGTGGAACATTTTTCTGAGATAATGTCTGTTTTTACACTGACGGGCTGCAGCCTCTTTGTTCTGGTTGGCTGTGTCCAGTGAAAGTTTTGGATCTGAGCTTTTGTGGCTTTGTTGTGGTCAGCATGCTGTGGAAATTGGGCTGCTGCATGCTCTGCTGAAGAGACTGCCACAAATACGTAATGTATATGTATTAAAAGTCGATAAGTTGATAATATCTGTTTTATTTCCTAAAAAATACTAAAATCTTCAGAGAACTTGCTGAACTATTAAGGCCACCTGTATATGAAGCTTACATACATTTTAAAAGAAAGAAACAGGCCACACTTGAAGATAAGAAAAGATTTGACGATGGACAGTTTTAACAGAACAATTCAATTCTATGTAAGTAAGTAATGTTTATTTATATATACCGCCTTTCACAGACCAGAGTCACAAAGCGGTTTACAATTGTTATTATTTTTGGACATTTGTCCTCACTCCTCACAGAGATGGGAGCGGGGTCGCCGAACAGGAGGCGCATGTCAAACCTATTGTAAATATTTTTATGTAAACATCTCAACAGTACTAATCTCACAATTGTTGAATTCGCCAACACAGATCAGAGAATCAAGCAGTTGAAACACAAGAAATAAAACAGAAAACACATTGGTATTGGTCCAAAAGGGGCAGATGACCAATGTCCGTAAGTGTTGATAAATGTCCATAAATGTTAAAAAGGACACAACATGATTTGATGACGAGTTGTTATAAAGCAGTGTTTAACTGTTTTGAGCTTTTTCAGTGGTAAAAATCCCATGGCAAACTATGCTGATCTCTGTAGACAGTAAAGTTTATCTTATATATAGAAAGACATGCATAATACTCTACATTTCTAACAATGTCTACTTTATACAAGTGTGCACACAAGTCCACACAGTAGACATTTAACAGTGCAAGTTAAAGTGACAGTAGTATAAGGATAATCAAATATATCGACACATTTAAGTATTTCTAATCTTCTCAATTTTTTCTTTTCACATTACTTCTAATTCATGATGATCAGAGCACTCTGGTAAAGCTCATGTCTTTGCTGCCCTCTTCTGGACAACATATGGAAGTGCCAACATTGCTACTATTACAATAGCGTAGGTAGAAATATTATGGGTACCTCCGAAATAGGCTTTTTTGAATTTCCTCTTATTTCTATTATTATTATGATTGACCTTGAGCTCAACAATAGGAGGTAATCAAATCATAGATAATATTACATAAAAAAAGAGTGGGGATACAATCCTTCAGTTGTATGTGCAGCTAAACCGAACAGTTTTTAACCTGGATTTGAACATTGTCAGAGAAGAAGCCTGTCTCACATGAACTCGACTCTTACATTTGTCTCAGTAAAGTTCTTCTGTTGTTAGAATGCAGTGTTCTGACCAATGATGTGCTCTTTGCTAAGACCCAGAGGCTGACAGTTGTTGATAGTTGTTCTCCTCATGCATATATTCTCTGATGTCTCCACTAAAGCCCTCCTGAGAGCAAGGACCCGTCCAGCCTGGACTCCCCCGATGCCCAGCGTCAGGAATGGTTCGCCCAGTACTTTTCCTTTTGATTGACCACAGACCTGCGAATACAAGGACTCCGCATGTCTACCAAACAAGAACAAAAACATTGAAAAAAAGGGTGGAGAAGAAAAAACATAAAAAGAGCAAAACGTTAAAAGTATTTGTTATTTATTGTCATAGTCTGGGGTCTGGCATCAGTTCGCTTTGAGTTCAGTCAGAGTGAGATACAGAAAACATTACATTTCTTTTGAGTGAAATAAATGTAACAACGGTACAACTCAGTCTAGATAAATGTATGTTTCTGTGAGTCACTGGAGACATATCACATTTACATTTGTGTAAGTGAATGAAATACTTTGTTTATATTTGCATATACTGTATTTATTTATGGTTGTTTGGAAAAATCAAATAAGATCATGTTAAGTTATAGCAATATTGAATATACACATGTGTTTTTTTTCTTTATGTTGAAACGTTGTTTTTTTTAAACATGTAATTCAATTGATTACTGAAACTAACAAACTCAAGCTATTGTATTTACTGTATACTAGCAGACTTCTCATAATGCCATAAGACTTTGGGGCTGGGGAGATCTGATCATCTGTTTCTACCTCAATTTTAAATTAAAGAGGCAATTTTAACAGCCGAAACATGTCGCTAAAAATTCAAGAATAATCTATAGCATATGATGAATGTATAAAGATTATTTTATACTCTTGTGCCAACCGCTGTAATGTTTTAGATACATTGTTATTATAGCGCTGTTGACTTTATCATATGTTAATGGACGAGGGTCAGTGCCATATCTGTTGGGACAGCTTTGCTTTGTACAGACTTTCTTTTGTATGTATTGTATAATATTATTGTCCTATTGTCTGAGGATGTATGCCAAATCACTGGAAGATTATTATCATTATCATGTTATTCACAAGTGTTTACTGGACTTGAGCCGAAGGAAATGCATTTGCAGAAACGTATTTTTGCGGACTGGGTTGTACAACACATCGACTGAGCTGAAGCTGAACTGAGCGCAGACTTTCTCACTTTCAAATCTGATTGTTTCTCTTTGATTGTTCCACTGTGGAAGAGTTCTCTCGTAGTACAGTGACAATGATCATCAATGTTTATCAATGTTTCTTTTGCACCATTTTGATTTTGCTATCTCTTGGATTTAGAATACAATGCGTGGTCCATTTTCATGCTGCTAAATGCCATCATTGGACTCCAGTAAGATAAGAAATGTATCTATAAAGAAGTAATCGGTAGGTTGTTGTGCTCTCTCCATCCAGCGTCTCTGGGCCAGGGCTGATCCCGGACCAGCTCGTGTCGCACAGTTGGTTTTAGAAAGACACCATCACAACGAGTTTGTTACAGCTGCGTTAGACGTCTCAGCAGATTTTGTTAGAATATTCAAACTGTTTGTATGGTTGTCTGTCTCAACACAGATATAATGATGTCTCACCAATTTTAAAAACAAAAATAGCATATTTTATATTTATATTATAATGTGTATGCTTAATAAAGAATAATTGTGACATTTACATTTGTTATTGCTCAATTGTTTAAATGTAAGTCCAGTGACCAATGGCAAAGCTGATGTCTTTCCAACCATCTGACTGTCATCCAGTGTGAATGGTGACATCATCTAAAATGTATATATTCTGGGTTATTTATGTGAATCATTCCTCTGTAGGTTCTCTATGTTCCCACCCTCACCTCTGGTCATTAGCTTTGGGTAATGGCCGAAAAAATGTGATTGCGGATACAAGCAGTGTAAATGAGTTTCCTCTGCATAGTGGCTGGGCACACACCACTCTGTCACAGGCAAGGAGCTCGGATTAGAGCCGATGCTTCTCCACTTCGAGAGGAACCAGTTGAGGTGTCTCCAGCATCTTTTTGGGATGCCTCCTGAACGTCGACTCTGGAGAGGTTCTGGAGACCCTTGGGAAGAACCAGGACACTTGGGAGGGGCCGTGCCTCTCAACTGGCCTGGGAACACCTCGGGATTACCCCAGATGAGCTGGAGAAAGTGTGTGTGGATAGGGAAGTTTGTGTCTCTGTCAGACAGCTGCGCCCGACGCCCGTGACTCTGCAACAGATAAAGCGGAAGAAAATGGATGGATAGGTTTCTGGGTAGGACTGTAATGAATAATCACTACTAGCCACTATTCACAAAATTGTCTGATAATATAGTATTCAAGTCACCTTTATTAAAGTATGTCATAAGCTTAAAGAGGCTTTATGATCCCATGTTGTGGCATGTCTATTGAGTGTCATAAATACGTATGTATATTATGTCAATATTTAATTTCAGCATCTGCATACTCATTCCAATAACCACCTATAGTCAAATAAAGATGATTATATTATTAATAATTATATCATCTGTCCCTCAGGGTTGCTTCACAAGTTACAGAACAGTAAGAATGAGGAGCACACAGCACAATCAGTGAATATCAAGTATAGCACAACTCTATACTAAATTTTTTTTAAAATGTTTAGTTTAATAAAGAAACAAAGTATAAAACGTATATAAATAAGGTAAAAACCTGTATAGTCCAGTGCAAAGAAATCTATACATCTGTAATAGTCATAAGCATAATGATAAGACCACTGTACATGTTAGCTGCATGGGGCTCTTGGCTGTAAGTAATCGATTAATAATGGTATTGATCAAATAACAATCAATTACAGCCGCATGTGTTCTGTATTTGCAGCCCCATTTTCTTTTACGAGGACCTAAGTTGTTATGGTTTTTGTAACAATTATACATTACCACCCCGCTCGCACTAACACAAGCAGCCGCTAGAGGGCCTTACCTAGACACGACAAACTCTAAACCGGAAGATAAACATCGCGTCGGCAGGCTGACGTAATGCAGTGAAAATGGCGGCTGGGGCAGCAGGGGCCCCTCGGCTGGTGCAGTACGTGGTTGTCCGTTCAGATCTGGTGCATTCTCTGTCGTGGCCCTTGGGAGCGGTGATCACACAGGCCTGTCATGCAGCCACGGCAGCCATCCACCTGCACTACACAGACGCAGACACGCAGCGCTATTTGGAGGAGCTGGATTCTATGCACAAGGTGGTACTGGGGGTAAGTATGGATCTGTAGCCCTGTTTCCACCAGCCCTACTTGGTCTTGCTCTACTCTACTTTACTCGGACCTACTCAACTCCGATTGTGGGCGTTTCCACCGTTTATTTGGTGTTGGATCTATTCAGGCCAAGCTGGTACTAAACTGTTCTAACTGACAGTGATTGGCCAGAGTGCTGCCATAGTTACCAAGGAATGTCCACGGATATTGTTTCGTTGCAAGTAGGTTTATACGGTACAAGATACTGAAGCGTAATGGAAACCCAACCAGGTAGAGTTGAGCCGAGTTGGGCCGGTGGACACTGGGCTTATTATGGGGACACCGTTTTCTTTCTTTTTGTGTGTGGTGCAGCAGGGTTGAAATAACTTTATTTCTTTTTATTCATAAGTACACCTCTGACATGGAACTCAACAATGTAACCTGTATTGTTTATATCAGAAATAGGCACGACTCTTCGTAAACACAGAAATGTCTATTAATCGATTAATCATAACTCATTTGGTTTTCAAGTGTTTTCTGAACCTCACATAGACTTTAAGGACTCCAAAAAGAGGTTTATGACCTCAGATAATTCTATAATGACTGCAGAATGAAATTAAATGTGTTAAGCTTTTTTTTGGTCAAATGTAAATAAAAATATCCCATTGTTACTGAACTTTTGGGATCCAAACTAAAACTAGATAAATCCATGGATCCAAATAACCAATAGATGAATCAATTGAATATTACTGCCAATTACGGCAACTAATTAATCACCAAAATAATTGTTAATTCATTTTTTATTTCTGGATGTTGTGTTTCGCAGGCTGCAGACGAGGCAGCTCTGTCTGGACTCTCACAGACTCTGACTCAGGCCGGAGTGCTGCACAAACTGTGGATCGAGCAGCCGGAGAACATCCCCACGTGTTTGGCTCTAAAGCCTTATCCCAAAGACACTGTCCACAAACTGCTGAAGAAGTTTAAACTGTTCAAATAAATAACACAAACACGCTTCAATAAGAGACAGTGGAAACATATGAATGACAGTAACTGTTGCCAAACCTCAAACTCGAGATGGACTGTATTTCTGAAGTAAACCATGCATTATTATTTTATTTATTGTATTTATTGTGAGTAAAGAGGATAGCGCAAGCTTTTTTTCCTCTTTGTCCCCTTGAAAACTAAACTACTGGTTCAGATTTGGTCTAATGCACTTTCGGCAATGGAGATGGTGAAGTGAATTTTTGAGTCACATCCGAACACTGGCCAATAGGATTTAGGAAAAAGAATGGGAATTTTACAGTGACAAATCAGTTAACTGCTTAATTACAAAACATACAATATTATTTCAATTAAATGTATTCTTGTGTAGCCCTAAATCACAACAAGGAGGACTTTACAGATCGGAGAAACAGGTTGAACACAGGAAGTGCAATGATAACAAACACGGGAGCCATTGGTCCATGGGGAGCAGGATGACTAATGTCCATAAATGTTATTACATGTGCATAAATGTACCGAATCCTCGCTGTCCTTAGACCCTCCTGCATAGTTAAGGAACGACTTAAAAACCCAGTGGGGAAAGAAGTGAGAGGCCAAATTGAGACGGAGATCTGCTCCCCCGGACAAACAGTCTGTAGATCCAGGACTCAGTAGAACAAGGACTCAGGCTGCTAATGCCTTTCATTTACAGCCACTCCTCCACACTGGTGTAATATATATGTAGGCTAATATTGTATACTTTCATGGAACAAATCTTTATTTGTATAACACAGTTTATACACAAGGCAACTCCAAGTGCCAAACCAAACAGTAAAAAAACGAGGAGGTACAATCAAATACAGTGCATTAAAAAGAGTGGGGATACAAACCATCAGTTGAATGCAGAGCTAACGGGCGGCAGTAGCTCAGTTGGTAGAGCGTTGGCCTTTGAGCCAGAAGGTCGTGGGTTCAAGCCCCGCTCAAGACCTTCACCATCGACTCCCACCGACTACTGTCGTTGTGTCCTTGGCAAGACACTTAACCTCTGGGAACACCAGCCACAGTGGGGCGGCTGCGGCTGTAAAGTGCCAAACTGCCGTTGTGTCCTTAGGCAAGACACTTCACCCCCATTGCCTAGAATGAGTCTGGTGTGTGTATGAATGGTTGGTGGTGGTCGGAGGGGCCGATGGCGCATACTAGTTGCCTCGCTTCTGTCAGTGTGCCCCAGGGCAGCTGTGGCTACAGCAGTAGTTTATCACCACCGTGTATGGAGTGAATGAATAATGACATATGTGAAGCGTCTTTGAGTGTCCAAAAAAGCGCTATATAAAACCGATGCATTATTATTATTATTATTAAACAGAACTGTTTTAACCTGGATTTGAACATTGCCTGAGTAGAAACCTGTCTCACATTTTCAGAAAGACCATGTTTAGTTCTGAGACTCAGTACCAGCAGGTGGCCAGTCCCTGCGCTCCTCAGAGTCAGAGTTAGTTCATGTCACTATACCGTGACAACATATTTGACATTTCCAAACCATAGATGGCAGAGATGTGCTGGTTCTGTACCATGAATGGTGATGAATAATTGTTCACGGTGTAGATCCGGCACATGTCGGAGTCACGTTGTGTGTGGCATTTGATGAGTCACTGATGATTCATTTCAGTGGATGAGGAGTGTCAGGTCTATAATCTATTTTCTACACCATCAAAGAGCATGCACCACCCTTATCAATAGAGGTGTCATAAAATCTATGCAATTATATTGTGAACATTGACCTTAAGCCACACTTAACAAACGAAAATCATCAAATGGCCACGATTGTAGACCGACTACAGGTTTTTCAAGTTGATCCAATTTTTACTTCCATGAAATAGTGCTTGTGGTAAATATGAGTAATTGTTTTACGTCAATAGATGAATAATAATGTATTTATGTTATAGCGGGTTATTTGGACAGGCGCTTCACACATGTTATTCATTCATTTCATACACTGTGTTTGGAATGGTGGTAAATTACTGACCAGGTTCAGCCCTGGTTAGCTTTAGGTCTGACGTGATCGGCTTTTACATGCAAGGAATGAGGAGCACGCTAATCAAAAAGTGAATATCAAGTGTGTATTATGTGACAGCTTGAATTTTGCAATCCAAAATGCATTGACTATTTCTACAAGGAACAATACTTCACTTAAGACATACTTGTCATTTTATTTGTAGAGTAGATATAATTATAGTAAACAGAAAAACAAAGCAAATGTTTTTGTATCCCACAGTTCCAACACAAGGCAACTCAAAGGATATAACAAAACTAGATAGAAACAATACAGTACATTAAAAAGATTGTGTAAGCCCTCAGTCGTACAGGGATTAGTCAAAGCAAAGGAAGGTTTCTCACCCATCATCTGTACTTCTTAGCAAGTTTTCCCAACTTGCTAAGAAGTACAGATGATGGGTGAGAAACCTTCCTTTGCTTTTACATTAAAAAGAGTGAAGAAACTATCCTGCACAACTAAACGGGGTAGAAGCCTGTCCCACATTTTCAGGAAGACTGATATTTTAGCTGCATAAATCGGAAATGTTGCCTCCCCATGTTAAGTCCTGACTCTGGGCACCAGCAAGACTCTGTGTCGGTTCATATATGGCACTAACATGTCATATGTACTTTGGTGCGAGGCCATTGAGAGACATGTACACACGCAGAGCTGCGTTAAACTCTAATAAAAAAGTATAATGCAGTATAATACAATAGATGTAAACATAAATATATGTATCAAAGTAGGTTAAAAAAAAAAAGCAAAGATTATGATTTATGGTTACGCCCGATTGCAGGAAATCTTTGTATGCCCACAACGACCAAAATGAATGCAGTAAATTCGCAGTGAGGACGTGAAATGTTATTGCTTGTTTTATTGTGTGCAATTTGCCCAGTGATAGCCTATATGTGTCAGCGGACCACTCCCCCTCCAGCATAATGTGTTTATCCTCGTGATGCTGCCAGTGCGCACGTATACATCCCACGTCTTCACTATTATTTACTGCCAGTGGTGCTCACATTAGCGCTCACATTAGTCCTCGATGTTGGATCTGGGCTGGATCTGAGTCCGGAGCCCTCTGCCCCCTCGTGAACGCGCCTCACACAGTGTGCACGAGCATCGCCGTGTTTGTTTGTGTGGAGAGATTGGAAATGGCGGAGAGGAGAGACCAAAGCGATCATTTGGCTTTTGAAAACAGGAGTGCATCATCAATGAGAGGGCGAAACTGAACAGAAGTGATTGTTTGAGTCTCTACAGGCACTGGTCCACCACTGGGATATATGTGGGACGAGGCCACGGTGGATTTTAAGAGCAAGGTTTGGATTTACCGAGCTGCTTTAGCCTGCGAAGCTAACCTAGCAGAAGAAGCAACCTGGCGCTAGCTTAGCTACGAGTCGTGTGTATGGTCCGATGCACGCAGGCTTGTTTGTCAACATAGGCTGACGTTAAACTCAATCCGCTGTGCTAGCCTGCAACTTTTTGGGGCTTTTCCAGAAGTGACAAGTGGATTGAAGACAAGGACATTGCCCATCGCCTGCTTTTATACCTCACTGGGACGTAACAGCGGATAAAAGTAAAAACATTTTGAAGTTACGCTTGTTAGCAGTGGGGGCTAGCTAGCGGTCTGTCTTTACGCAGCGCTGCATGGGAATACTGCTCTAAAACAAGGAGGCATTTGAGACCTGGAGTTCGCCCCGTGGGTTTTTAATTGCACTCGGTGGAGAGAGGACAGCGAGGTAAGTGGGCCACAAGCGCCTTAAACACATGGCCAAACATTGCAATGACTTCAGGGGCCTTCAGGGGCCTCTCATTGACTTAACATTGACCATACGTGTGCGTACTGACACCATCCCGAGCCCTGGGAGTCATAACATGTATCTCTGGGACATTGTGCTCCTTCAACACCTGCGAAGGAGCGCTGGTAGGCTGCCCCTTATGTAAGACACGCAAGAGGCCTCTCGCTGCATTGTGCTTATTCGGACTCCGACCATAACATCGGAGCTCACGGCGCGAAACTGGCGTGTAGAGTAAAACAAACAAATGCATTCATCTCTCTCAGTAGCGCAGGGTTTTGGCAGGAGTCTACATCCCTGCAATGCGTGTACCGACGTATATAAACATGTCAACATAATCCAATACGTTGCACTTCCTGTCTGTTCACGCTGTCATGCTGTTTACCCGTTTTACCAGTTGAAATTATGTCAAATGTTTTTGGATTTAATGTTAGGAGATCCTTTATTCGTCCCACAGTGGGGAACTTTCAGTGTTGCATCACTGGTAGAACAGTAGGAATGACCTGTCCTGCTACACCACCTCTACTGCTGTGACCTAAAGTGCTGCTGGATTTTAATACGATTGTTATCTATTTTTAGAATGATCTATTTATTTGTTTTTGTATGGATGGATGCGTTTCTGCTGCTACTGGACACCTGAATTTCTCCCTACGGGGATCAATAAAGTATTTATCTAGGAATGAGGAGCACGTAACACGCGTGGATATTACGTATAGCACCACTCTAGCACAAAAATATATTTGTGTGTATGTAGCTATAGATAATACTGTCACTATTCGAGATTTAAGATGATAGACGTTAGCTCTGTGGGTTAAAATAATATTCAGCATAAACTATACGATTCAAAGGGCTATTAATGACTAAAGTGACAGTGGACACATGCGGTCCCATATTGCACATTGAACTGCTAATCAGTTTTTTGCGACGTTTTTTCCCCCCCAGTCACCCGAGGATAGGTGGGCAAGTATGATATATGGAATGTGTGATGTAGGTTAAAGAGCAAATTTGCGCTGGGCCAACTCACAGGCAAGAAACGCGTCGCTGACATCAGAGCCATACGCATTGACAACAACTTTCTAGTTTTAACTAAATGCAGAAAATTAATCCAACTTGTGATTAGGTTAGTGACACAACGCTCAGGTTCTGTGATGCTGCAATACCAATACCAAAACAAGCCATGATCGTAGGCTT